TGAACCCCCCCAGGGCTGAGCCATAGTACAGACGGGCCATAGCTGTGATGCTGCCAGCCGTGCTGGAAAGCCCCTGCCTTGCACTGGGAGGGCACTGGGATCCCCTGCCCCAGTGCTCGGGCACAGAAACAGTCACAAGTCAGCCTTTAACAGGTTTCTGACAGGAGATATTGCAAAGCTGCCTCCCTTCTTCCCCCCCACCCTCCTGGATACCTAACGCTGCGATCTGGCATGTGCTCTCTCTGATAAAGTCACTCTTCTCTCTGGAAAGGGTTTGATAAAGCAACCCTGAGCCTGAGCAGCCTTGGGAGCCCCCCCACAAGAGCAGCACAGAAAGGGTGAACCACTCTGCAACCTGGGCAGACAAAGCCAGGGCATCTCTGCTGGCAGAATTTGCTACAGGGTAATATTTAGCAGTAAGGAAAAAAAAGAAAAGGCAAAGCAAACAAGCCCAGAAAAACTAACTGCTGGGGTTGAGTGAAGGACAAAATCTGTTGTGGTCTCGTGTCCCCCACAATGAGCAAAGGTGGAAACTCATTGACAGGAGCTGTGCAGAGCTGGCTGCAAGGACACAGGGAACATCAGGATTGGTGCCTTTTGGTGCAGGGCATTGCAAGGAAGCTCTGGCCACACAGAAGATCAGACGCGGGGATTTCTGCCTGTGGGTGCTCACCTGCCCTCGTAACATCATTGAAGGCACGTTTAGGGTCGGGTGTGAGGCGACCAGCCCCACATGTCGTACTCGGGCCTTGCAACTGTGCTCCTCCAGCACTGCGCCCGCTGCTCCTGCCTGACGCCCTGCAGGGCTGACGCTGACCAGCTTGGGCTGCAGCCTCGGTACCCCACAAACCCAGGATGGGTCTTCCGCAAGAAGCAGTTTGAGAGGGGAAAGGCTTTGCTTTTAAAACAGCCTCTGCATCGCAGAGCTGTGTCTCCCCAATGAGCCGGTTTTCCTGGAGACGGGGCCGCTCGTCTCCTGCGGGGCTTGCCCTGGGCAGTGCTGGGCTTGGAGGAGAGCAGGTCGCTCCCAGCAGCCATGTGGTGGATAATAACCCGGTACGAAATGCTTGTCTTTCCTGGCTGCCTGACAAAGGCCAAGGCCTTTCATGCTAGAAAATTCTAGCTTGGAAATAAACGTTTATAATTGTTTTAATTACCCTTGTGATCTAGTAATTTCGAGGAGAACCAGGAGTGCTGTGGAGCAAATACTGTTATTACGCTATCACTTTTCAGCAGCCTTTCAGCACAGAGCCAGCAATTTCATCTCAGGAGAAGCCATGAAAGGTGGTTATTAGCATGTACCACTGCCAGCAGCCAGGGTCCCTCCTGTCCCTGCTGGGAGCAGCCACTGGCATGGGGAGCTGCAGCCTGCCTTCGTCCCCATCACCCGAAATGTCATAACAGCTGTCTAACTTGGTGTCTCTGCTCCAGCTTGCTTTTGCACTAACTCATGCTCAATTTTGGTCTGCTTTTCATGAGTTGATAAAGGACTATCAGGGTTTTTGCTTGGGGTGGGTGACTGTCAGGTCCGGTTTTGGCCCTTTTCGGAGCATTTTTCAATGTCAGGAGTCTTCCAGGTTGTTCCCCAGCTGTGTCACACAGCACAGCAACCAGTCAAACAAAACACCCTCCAAGTGTTTCTGTTTACTGGCAATAACTACAGCCTGGCCTCCCTTATCGGCACGTAGTGCCACTTAATTAATATTGCTAAAGCGCATGGATGACCCAGGGCACAAGACGCGGGATCTCCGCAGGGACCTGTTGCTGTTAGTTAGCATTAACCATAATAGCAGTTCGACCCTGACAATCCAGTTGCCGCCTGTCGGGGCACACAGGCTTGCTGTGCAGGTTTGAGGTGTGTTCCCGTTTGCTCTTAATTGAGCACGTTTACCACGGCCGTCCCTGGGTCAGGCAAATGCTCTTCCTGGGGATCGCTGCTTTGCCAGGGACAGAGCTGCCTGGACAGTGACGGTTGTAAAAGGTGAGCCAAAGGCAAGATTGCTTTCCTCTTCCTTTCTGGTTTACACTCCTTAACAGAGGAGAGAACCGATGAGAAGGAATCTGATTTCCAAGAGCAGAGGTAAGGGGCATACAGTGGGCAGTCGGTCTTTCCCACGTGCTGAGGCCAACAGCGTTTATTGAGTAACATTTTGGTGCAGCCTGATCAGGAAAAATCCCACAGCTCATCTTGGGGTGAAGGCAGGGAACTAAAACTCCTCCCCCATCTCACTGACATCCCATCACCACTGCTCTCAGCATTGCCTAACCTGCTGCTTCCGTGCTGTGTTTTAATTAACTAGCAAAAATCCTGTGGAAAAGGGCTGTTCAACCTCACCTGCAGCCACCTCAACCTTGTGGAGAAGGAGTACTTCGGCCTTGAGTTTCGCAGCCAGGCTGGGAACCACGTGAGTGTGGGTCGTGGCGTGGGGCCCTGGTGCTGCGGCAACCTCCTGCATGGCTGAGGGCTTGCTAGCACCTCCCTGAAATACCAGATGAAAATTTTGAACACAAAGATTTGCCACAGTGCCAAAACCCCCTTGAAATAGGAGTTACGAGGGGAGCCACAAGCTGCTTGGCAAAGCCTATGGGGTTTATTCGTAGCCATCCATGCAGGGCTGCCCAGCGGGACAGGTTGCTGCAGCAGCCACGCTGACCAACATTTTTGTGTTACATTCTAGCATGCTGCTGCTGCTTTTATTCCCCTTCTCCTGTGCTGTTTGTTCATCCAGTTCTTCATTGCCTTATTTCAGGTCTGGTTGGAACCACTAAAACCCATAACAAAGCAAGTCAAAAGTAAGTATTTCAGAAATTAAATTATTCTAAATCACTGTCAGTGGCAGGGTGGCACAGGCACATTAATGCAATGTTATTGCTTGAGGACGGGGGCTCTGGTTTCTAGCATTTACCTGAGCTCATTTTATAGTGTGAGGCTGGGCAGGATTGTTTGCAAAGACACTGCAATCCATAGAACCCTGTAGAAATGCCACTGCTGCCTTTGCAATCTGGTATCTGAACCATTTTAGGCTTGAGCTTTCAGCAACCTGACAGCTTGGCGGAGGAGCGTGGGCATCGCTGTGCTCAGAGCAGCGGGCATCTCTCCCTCCTTTCCCCTTTGCAGCTCGTGAAAGCCCAGACGCCTGCGCAACATGAGCCCCGCGTGTGGCGGGGTTAGCCCTGTCCCTCTGTTGCTCCTCTCCAGCCCCTCCACAGCACTGCTCGGAGATGCTGCGGGGCCTGACCTGAATTCAGACTCAGCATCCCCTGCCATGGCTGTGACTCTTTCTGCGTAGCCCGGTAATGAACCAGGTGATATTTTCCCCCAATACATGGCAGCTAGGAGGTGGTTGAGAGCATGAGACCAAGATTCCAGTATTTGCCATGGGGAGGCTGCAGAACAGGGTTTTCATGAATTTCCCTCTAAGGGGAAAGCCTGATAAAGAGCCTACCCCTTCCGGGTGCATCAGAAATGGGATTACTTCAGGCACCAATTTTTTTTTCCATATTCCTTTCGGCCTGTCCATCCAGGAGTGCCTGAGCCCCCCCATGGGCTCCTGGGACAGTTCGTACCTACAAAAGTGGCTCCCTCCCTCCATGCTCTTTGCCTTGGGCTTCGCTGCTTGCTCTCTCCACAAAAAAAGCTTTGCTCAAACAACCTCCTGCTGAGCTGTTGCATCCCAGTTGCTTGGAGGACTGAGTTTAATGTACAGCCCTGCTGACAGCAATTACAGCAGGGCTTTGGCCACACTCCAGACAAACACACCTGGCACTGCTCCATAGAAACTCCCTTCCTGGCGGGGGTCTTTCTCTGAGATTTAAAGAATTGCTGGTATTTGTCTTTGGTCCTCCTGCCCCTCTACTCTGCCCTGTTGAGGCCGCATCTGGAATACTGTGTCCAGTTCTGGGCTCCTCAGCTCAAGAGAGACAGGGAACTGCTGGAGAGAGTCCAGCGCAGAGCCACAGAGATGATGGAGTGGAACATCTCCCTTATGAGGAAAGGCTGAAGGAGCTGGGTCTCTTTAGCTTGGAGAAGAGGAGGCTGAGGGGTGACTTCATTAATGTTTATAAACAGGTAAAGGGTGAGTGTCAGGAGGATGGAGCCAGGCTCTTCTCAGTGATATCCAGTGACGGGCAACTGGTACAAGATGGACCATAAGAGATTCCACAAAAACATCAGGAAAATCTTTTTCCCTGTGATGGTGATGGAGCCCTGGCACAGGCTGCCCAGGGAGGTTGTGGAGTCTCCTTCTCTGGAGACATTCAAAACCCGCCTGGACACGTTCCTGTGTGACCTACTGTAGGTGATCCCGCTCTGGCAGGGGGGCTGGACTAGATGATCTTTGGAGGTCCCTTCCAACCCCTGACATTCTGTGATTCTGTGGTATTATTTAGGTGTCCAACTCCTTATCCACTTCCATTGGTAACACTGGGGGTCTGTTTGGTCAGGCTGGGTTTTTTGGGACAGAATGAAGTCCCTGATGTTCAGGGCTTCTACCCCTGATTTGTAAGGGTCCAGAGTAATAAACTCTGCAGAGACAACATGTGTGAAGAGAGTTGTAAATGTTCTCAACAGACACTTAAAAGAAAACTTATGAAGATGTTGTGTTTTAAGATCCTAAGGAGGTTCTTTTCAAATTTATGGTGAAATTTTTCCCAGTGGACCCCGGCCATCTGAAAGAAGAGCTGACCAGGTACAGTACTTGTTCTGTTGCTTACTTACTGCACAGTTTTTTGCAATTGTGAAGCATGTGTTTAATTCCTCACCTTTATCCACCCAAACCTGTCTGCGAGCACTGGTTTTCCTAAGTGTTGAAAGAGCTCTGTATTTTATAAAACAAAACCCAAGAGAGTATCTTTTCTTGATCTTCTGTTTTTAAACAAAATCCACTCAAAGGATCAGCCGTCTTGAGAGGCTGCAATTTGTTTACTGCCAAATGCTTTAGCAGTCGGGCACCAAATCTGACTTTGCTCAGTCTATCTCCTGCCTCAAGCTGTGTTCTTAAAGAAGAAATTTAATTTTATTTTTAAGAATGACATTGTCAGCTCTTATGTTTTAGAGAAAACTTTGTGATCAGGAACTAAGAATCAAACTAAAATAGCGCCTCCGCAAAACATGGGTCCCAAGAGATGCAAATGCCCTCCAAAGCATAAAGGAATGTTAACTCTGAAACCTACTATTGGGCATCTCAATGGTAGGAGTGTACTAGTCATGGTGGTGCCCAGCTGCAGCTTTCTGCAGGGACTGCATGTTTCCCCTGTGACCCTGCAGACCTGCATCCCTTGGGTTAGAGTGTGGTGCTGATAACACCAAGGTCGCAGGTTCGATTCCCGCTCGGTCCCCATGTGTTGCCTGATCTAACTGAGAGATGTCCCTGCCCATAAGAGGGAGGTTGGATTAAATGATCTCTAAGGTCCCTTCCAGCCTAGGCCATTCTATGATTCTATGGGTGAGCGCTGGGAAAGGCATGGGGACAGCCAGACCCCACTTAGCAGAGCCCTCACAGCTCAGCCCAGTGGCCACCTCTCTGCTGAGTCCAGCTCTCCCCCAGGGTGTCCTCCTGTCCCCTTCTACAGGTACCTCTTCACCCTCCAGATCAAGAAGGACCTGGCACTGGGGCGGCTGCCCTGCAGTGACAAAAGCGCAGCACTGCTCGTCTCCCACCTGCTGCAGTGTAAGGGCAGGCGAGTGCCCGCAGGGACGGTGCCCCTTCCCTGGGGACGGGGTGCTCAATGGGGCATTGGCTGTCTGGCCAGGGGTTCCCTCTGCAGTGAACCCCCATAGCCTAACCCACAGTCTCCCCATGTCCTCACAGCTGAGCTGGGTGACTTCCAGGAGGAGACAGACCAGCAACACCTGGCGACCCACAGGTACCTGCCCAACCAGGAGTACCTGGACAACAAGATCATGCACTATCACCGGAGACACAGGTGAGGGCTGCTGCACAGCACAGCCACCTACCCAAAGCACCTGATGGGTGCCTGCTGATGAGGCCGTTGCTAGTAGCTGGCAGGACCAGCAGTGGGCTGGGTGTGATGCCAGTGTGTGCACATCTAAAAATGACTTTTTTTCAGGCCATTTCAGCTGCTGCCTTTTCACTCTTGCTTCCCAATGCGTTTGTGCCTCCAGTGGGAAGACGCCGGCTGAGTCAGATGTTCAGCTGCTGGACGTGGCCAGGAAGCTGGAGATGTATGGGATTCGCCCGCACCCTGCCAGCGACGGCGAGGGGACGCAGATCAACCTGGCTGTGACACACATGGGGGTGCTGGTCCTGCGGGTGAGCCCGGGGCTTGGGATGGGCTACCAGCACCCAGGCGGGGCGGCCTTTCCCCAGGGACATCATGTCCGGTTGGGGGGGGTCCATCCTCCCCTCTGCATGCTCTAAACCATCCCCAGTCCTGCAAGAGGGAGCATGCCCCAGCAAACCTCGGGTGTGGAGGTGAACCTCCAGGCCATGGCTGCAGGGCTCAGTCCCACCATGTCCATCATCTTCAGCTGCGTGCTACCGTGCCTGCCCTGGCTCTCGTGGCTCTTGTCACGGTGAGTGTGGCCATGTAAGCGCCACAGGTTACATGTCTGCGTCACATGTGTTCACCGTATAATCTTCCAGCGAAAATAGCCACCTCATGTCTGTGCAATTACATAACGCTGTAATCACAGTGTAGCTGCAGAATAAATACAGACTTGTCGCAGCCGGCGTGAAACAGCACTTGCCTCCCACATTGGCTAATTTCAACCTGGGAACATCTTGCCAGAGCAGGAAAAAAAAAAAATCCTAACTGTGGGTCTGCTGCTCATAATTAGTGCTGCCAGACCCGGTTATTTATTCAGAGCCATAAACACCCCTCATGCATGATTAGAGCATCTGTGAGCCCATTAAAAATCTAGGCTCTCCCAGGAAGCCAAGAGGGTCTCGGTGCTACAGCATGGAGTAACACAATTGTTCCTGGTCCTGCCATGACACTAGTGTTATGCAGCTGTGTCTAAATTGATGTTTAGTGATAATGAGGGGTAAGATATGCTTGCAACATGCTTCAACCAGGTCTAAAGACGTGGGAGGGAGCTGAGCTCTGCTAGGCTTCCCAGCAAAGGAGAGAAGGGTCTGTCTTCTTGTGGGGGCGGGGGCTGATTCTGCACTAACTCATGTGATGAGCTGAGACAGACGGCACTTCTTGTCTTGACCTCCTGAGGTTATTCTTGGGATCCTGGAGTTCTACAAATAGCTTCAGTATGAATAGTTAATCCCTGAACCTCTTTTCCCACTTTTGGACCAGCTGATAGTGAAACATCAAATCCTGGCACCCCCTCCCCAGACCTCTAGAGCAGTGAGAGCCGTGTTGGGGTCTTGCATAGTGTCCTACAGGCTCAGGTCTTGCCCCATTGTATTTCTGCAATCCTTACTTGCCCCATCCTGCTGCAACCACTGTGTTCATCCTTACAGGGCAATACAAAGATTAACACGTTCAACTGGTCCAAAATCCGCAAACTGAGTTTCAAGAGGAAACATTTTCTCATCAAGCTCCATGCAAACATCTCTGTAAGTATCACACTGCAGGCAGCTGCCAAGCTCAGGAGCGGGCAGCTGTGTACAGAAGATCAGACACGCAAAGCCCCAGTTTTGATAAAATCTGTTTCTGCTTCTCACGGGTGATCCTCCTCCCCCTTGAACACGACATGTGCCACCCCGGCGTTCCCAGAGGCCGGAGCCAGCACAGGGTGATCCTTCGTGGGCTTAGGAGGGCAAATGGCAGAGCCTGGTCCTGCAGTCCTGCTGCCAGCTTGTTTGTCTCTGGCCTTGCAGGCACTGTGCAAGGACACACTGGAGTTCACCATGGCGAGCCGGGATGCCTGCAAGGCTTTCTGGAAGACATGTGTGGAGTATCATGCCTTCTTCAGGCTGTCAGAAGAGCCCAAGTCAAAGCCCAAAGCCCTTCTTTGCAGCAAGGGCTCCAGTTTCCGCTACAGGTAAAGTCCTGGGGAAAACTGAACACATGAGACCAGGAAGGGTGTGAGGATGGCCCAGAGCCTCCTATTTGTGTCAGCTCTGGCTGGATGCAAGAGGATGATGCCTGACAGATGCTTTTCCTGGAGAGACCACTGCCTTGGTGCTGCCGCATCTTCTCAAGCCCTTGGGATGAGGGGATGCTCAGGGCTGGGGCTGGTGGTGCTGCTCACACTCTCCCTCCTTGCTGCAGTGGGAGGACGCAGCGGCAGCTGCTGGAGCATGGGAGGAAGGCGAAGATGAAGAGTCTGCCCTTCGAGAGGTACTGGGAGGCATCGAAGGGGGTGGTACCTGGGTGGAGGAGGGGGACAACCTACAGACCATGCACCTACCCGTGCTTTTGGCTTTGCAGGAAGCACTACTCATGCCATTACGATGAGAGGCAGTGTCGCTCCTCCCCAGACCTCCTGACCGACGTCTCCAAGCAGGTATTTCCCCTTGGCATCAGCTGGATGAGGCCTTGGCATCATGGCCTCAGCTGGCAGAGCTCAGCAGGAGGCCAGACCCTCAGCTCTGCAGGCTCTCTCTTGGCCCTGCTTGCCCTGCTTTCCCCCTGCCCCTCGGGGGTGGGCTGGGCACCCACCTGTCTTCTGCCCCTGCTCAGGTGGAGGAGCTGTGCCTAGCCTACGGCAGCCGGGGCTCCTACCATGCCAACGGGGTGCACACCTCCGAGCCCACGCTGGACAGCCGGCGCCGGAGCTCTGCCGTGGAGGTGACGTTTGCTGCTGAGCTGGAGCGCTCCAAACCCGAAGCGTCCCCCACCTTCCTGCCTCACTCCAAAAGCTCGTGCGCCTTCCCACTGCTCTACGCTGAGCTGGAGCTGGAGCGAGCGTGGGAGCCCACCGACCTCTTCAGCGCCAGGAACCCCTTGACCTCCTTTCGGCCACACCACCAGTTCGCTGGGAACAGTAAAAGCACCTCGGTGGGCAACATGCGGGAGGTGACCACGCGGCCACTGGTGTACATGGATGTGCCGTGTCCTCCGCCCATGGCCAGCCCAGCCCCACAGGTCCTTTTCTACCTGGACAGGCCCCCGCAGCCCC